CTCTGTGATTCCCTCTCAGCCTTTGGGTGTCAGGGGCTGAGCGACAGTGTCTACACTGCAGTACTCTTGCTCTCTGGGGAGAGTCTGGCAGCAAATGCTACCCCTGGGGTCTCCTTTCTCTGAATTTCACGCAGAACACCTGCTGCCCTTCCCTCATAAAAATGTGACAATTCTCTCATGTGCTATAACCGAATTACGGGGTTACAGCTGACTTCACATTGTTGCATTTACTTGGTCCCACGCCCCTGTCACCAGGATTAGACTTCAGCACCCTATTCTCCTTGATGGAATTTGTGAGACATCCTCAGTGGGGCTTAGGCGAGCCCTGGCCTCAAGGGTCCCCTGTAGACCCTCAAGGAGAGCTGCTCCTCTCTGCTCCGCCGTGACTCGTGTCTCGTTTCCCCTGAGAGGGGCTGCTTCCTGACCGAGTCCCTGGTGTGGAGCCGTGACCTGCCAGGCACTGTGTCACCTCCACACCATCCCTAATGGCTTTGAGTTAACAGAGTTCATCGAATTTAACACCTAACAAATAATGACACAGATGCATTCACAGTTATTTGTAGTGGTGTTCTCCCAGAGTTCCTGAAGACTGTTTTTCCTGGTTTACCACAACTGCCGCTCCCCATTTCCTCAGGCCCAGGGCCCTCTCCAGCTCTTGCTCCTTCTGGGCGGAAGGCAGCGAAAGTGTACAAAGGACTTTAACCTTCCCTGTCACCGAATAGCTGAGTTGCTTCCGCATAGGTCCCTGCAGTCTTGTCTAAAGGAAAGTGAAACCACATCACTCCCTGTTGTAAAGTCATTTTTCTGTAGAATCTTTAATTCCTAAGTTCCATCTTTTTAAAAAATATTATTTAGCTTATTCTTAGCATTAAGCCAGAGTTGGGCATTTTGAATGAAAGATACTATTGCTGGTGAAGGCCTTTTTCAATGAATGAAGGGAGCTCTCTCAGAATGTGTTTTTTACGGACTGTCTTCCATGTTCATTTGAAGTTGTCATGATTGACAAGTGTGGGCCAAAAAGGGAGGCACAGACACAGGGGTGAAAGTTGCTCTGCCATGGAGACTCGTGTTCTCTCCTCAGTCAGTGAAATCTTTCTTTTTAAACAAGGAAACCTCTCTGGCATTTAAATGCTACTTTTTAGCTTCCCAAACAGGAAGAGGTTGTCAGAAAGCCAAAAACATCCTGGAAATGAGTCCTAGGGATTGTGTCAAGGAGCATGACTCAGCAACACCGAATTAATCATGACAGCCATACTGCTCCGGCAGCGGCGGGGAGCCCATGTACACAGGGCCCACCTATGAGGGGCGGGACTCCCCACATCAGAACCACATGGGGTGGTCAGGGCAGGGATTCTAAACTGTAAATGATGCGGCCCGATCTCTCAACCTCCCAACCTCTTCCAACTGCTTGAGTGTCATGTCTCTGAGGCCCAGAGGTGAAAACATTGCCATAAAATATTGCCACTCCCTTGCCTGGGTGCTCAGAGGGCAAAGGGACAGGCATGTACCAAAGAGCAGATACAATCTCTGTCTTTAGTGGTTTTATGGTCTAAGGTGTGAGTGAGGCAGAACAACTTACAAGGAATCAGTTGAGCTACCTAATATGCCACATACATGAGGAGCAGGTGTGACCCGCAAACCCAGTAGCACATGGGAGACCTGTCCGTGTGGCAAGGGAGGGAGCGAGGGGTCATCACTGGCTGAGGTCTTTGTCAGCCTGCAGCACCACAGGTGACCCTTAGCTGTGGACTCGCTTGGCTTCCTCAAGAAGGGCGGGCAGGTGGTCTGAGCTGGCTGTCACCTAGCTGCTGTGAACTGTTTCCTCAAAAAAGAGAGTCCTAGGCAGAACCCTACTTCTTAAGGCACCTGAGTATCAGAGTTTTATAGTTGTCCCCCATTCATTCTCCTATTCAACATGTATTTGTCAAGCACCTACAATGCCCCTAACACAGCATCAGGCCCGGGGAACACAGTGGGAACAGCCCTGACATGATCCCTGTCCTAACTCACAATGCACAAGGTGGACGGTAATCCCACAAAACAACCATGAAGGAAGTGCAGACTGCTGCTTTTATATTTAAATCCAGCAATGTTATGGCCTGGAATGCTCATAGCACTCAGCCAGCACATACACTATATATGGACATTCCTTCCTGTCCACACTCCCTCTCTGCACCTCACTACCTGACTTTGGGGACCTAATAATAGAGATCAGTTTTCAGAGGAGTCCCTCACTGTCTGAACTCACAGCATTTGCTGTCTCTGAAACTTGGATAGATTAGATAACCTGGCACCTCTCAACCCCAGACTTACTATCTGAACTCTCAGTGTTTGAGTACAGGAATCACTAGATTTGGGGAGAGAGGGAGAGCTGGGTGGGGCTATAAGTGGGGGCCAGTGAAGGGCTGTGCCTCTCAGGTAGGAAATTGGGACCTCAGGCACTGTGACTCAGTGGTGACTGACACTGCACGAAGGCCTGCGGGTCTCTTGGCAGCAACATAAAATGGAAATCATTAATGGAATACAGCTCGGCGTCAGGACTTTGGCCATGCGTCTGTCATGCAGTCCATTTTTCAGGCTCTAGAAGCGGGCTGGACCTTAACCTACTTATTTGTGCCTGGCTTTGCCAGCAAAGATAAATTTGCAGAACTTTGTCCTTTTGAAGAGGCCACCTTGGGGGAAAACTGAAAAGGCCCCCAGCTTTCTGAGCTCTTCTCCAGGTAGATATCTCTGGGTGATCTTAGCCATTGAGTCTTCCTTCTTTCTAGGCAGCTCTGTGTGTATGGGCGAGGTTAAGAATGAAGCCCACCGCAGTGACAGTGACAAACAGAGCTGACGAACACAAAGGGTCAAGGTCCTTGGTAACATTGTTTGAGTCACTGGGCCAAGTCTCACCTGAAGCCACTGTTCCTCTGAACTTCTGACTTCCTTGAGGTAGTAAACCTCAAGGTTAAAGCTGGAATTGGTCTTTCTAACCTGTCAATGGGAAGACTCTTAATGGATACGTGTGTCTGTTCTTTCCCCGAGCAGCTCAGGGTTTCTCTTGACCTGCCCCTTGTTGGTCAGGAGACCAATAAATTTTTCTGAAAAATGTGTAAAGCAATTTATGGCAGGGAGAGAGTGTGAGGAGGAGTCAAAACAGAGAGAAGCAGTTGTCCACCAAATATCTGTGACTGAGAGGGTAGATTCAATTGTTTGAAAACACGTATTGAGTGCCTACTGTGTGCCAGGCAGTATTCACTATGAACTAAGTGAATTCCCAAAGCCAGCATCCTGGAAGGGGCAGGGTCGAGAGAAACAATATACAGATGAGCCAATAAACAAAGGGATTGGGTAGTGACAGCCCAGGCCCAGAGACAGCATGGAACCGTAAACTGCGCAGGAGACAGACCAAAACATCTCCAGAAGAGGCCCTCGATTGCTGGTCTGAGGAATGGGAAAGAGCCCCGACAGTCCGAGAGTATAGAAAACCCTGGTTTATGTGTGTGTTTTCCATCTTTCCTGCCCAGCCCCAGGCAGATCAGTGAGAGTAGTGAGAGTAGTGTGATAGCAGTGCCAGTGGCAGCCGGACAGACGACCAGAGTGCTGAGGCGGGGAGTCTTTGCTCTGCCCAAGGAACTGCAGAGCTAACAACACGGGGGGAAGTCCCTGTTGCTTTTTTTCCTCTTCCTCTCTATATATCTCATCTTGTTTTTGATCAGAGCAGGGAAACAAAAACCCTTACTTTTTAGCCAAAAGACCAAGGTGATTTCGGAGGGGACAGCGTCTCCTGGAACTAGAAACTGTTGGGGAGCTCAAGGAGGGGAGGGGCCAAAGAAAGTGACCCTGTAAAGTGGTATATGAATGTCTAAACTCGCCCCAAAGCTTACCCTATGGAGCATAGCAAAGGATTTTAGAACTGGACTTCCAGATTCAAGGCTAATGCACAAACCAAACAGATTGGGATAAGCCCAGTGAAGCATTAAAATCTGAACTGACGTTGTTCAGTGGTTATAGCCCAGGGAAGACAGGTAGAAACTTGCAGCCTGAACCTAACCAAGTTCATTGCCTGATTTTTTTTTTAAAAATCAACAATTCCATAGGATTTAAACAAGACCCTTAGTCCTATAACAATATGCAGAATGCACAGGGTACAACCCAAAGTTACTTGATACCTGGAGACTCAGGAAAATCTCAATGTCTGTCAAGGAAAAAGACAAAAAGACAATCATGAGACAACAACTTGAGATGAAATAGTTGGAATTGAGACATTAAAGTAGCTAATAGGATCATGATCCAGGAAGTAAGGTCAAATATCCTTCAAAGGAATAGAAAGATAGTCTAATTAGAGAGATTGGTGATACAAAAAGAATCAAACTGAAGTTTTAGAAATAAAAAATATAATAACCAAGTGAAAACAGTCATTGGATGGACTCAATAACAGAATGTAAATGACAGAGAGTCAATACACTTTAATGAAACAGATCCGTACAGTTAGATAGATATAAATTGATCTATGGGTCAATATAAATTATAGAGTTGAAAAACGGAAAGGAAATAGATTGAAAAATAAATTCTCAGGAACCTGTGGAACCATACCAAAAGGTCTTTCTTATCATCAGCCTTAGGAGGGAATGAGAAAGAGTATAGTACAGAAAAAAAAAATTAAAGAAATAATGCTTAGAAACTGCTTAAATTTGATGAAAGACATAAGGTTAGAGATTCAAGAAGCTCAGTGAGCACCAAACAAGATAAGCTCAGGGAAACCCATGCCCGCCCATATCATAACCTACTAAATGTAAAGACAAAGAATCCTGAAAGGCAGAGAAAAACAATGCATCGAATATAGAGAACTATGTTTGAATGACTATGCATTTCTCATCAGAAATCAGAGGCCAGAAGGCAGTAGAACATTTTTAAAGTGCTGGGAGAAAGGGGGAATGAAACCTGTCAACCCAGAATTCTATATCCTGTAAAAATATCCTTGAGGAATAAAAGAGAAATAAAGGCAGTATCAGATTGTGCTCACTGAGGCAGTACATATACTAAAATTGGGATGATGCTTTGGAGGGTAGCTTGGCCCCTGCACAAGGGTGACACACAAATTCATGAAGAGTTCCATATTTTATAATGTACAACATGGTAACTATAGTTAATAATACTGCATTGTGTATTTGAAAGTTGCTAAAAGAGTGATCTTAAGAGTTCTCGTGACAAAAAAATTCTGTATTTGTGTGGAGACCATTTCACAATATACACAAATCTTGAATAATTATGTTATATACATGAAACTAATATAATGTTGTAAGTCAATTATACCTCAATAAAAATAAAAGGCACTCTCAGATGAAACACTAAGAATTCATTGTCAACAGGCTTGCACTAAAAGAAGTACGTATGGGAGCTCTTCAGACAGAAGGGACATGATACCCAAGGGAACACGGGAACGTTAGGGATGAAGGAACAGCAACAGAAATGGTAAATATCTGGGTAAATATAATAGATCATTTTTTCTCTTAAGTTATTTAAAATAGATATGATGGTTGAAAGCAAAAATTATTACATTGTTTGTTGGGTTTTCAATTTATGTATATTTAATACATATGACAATTACACCTCGAAATTACGAGGGTAAAGGGATGGCCATAAGTTTTCTACATTCCATTTGAATTGGAAAAATATTAATTCTGAGTAGGCTGAAAAGTTAACTATGTATACTGTAACCACTGGAGCAACTCTTAAACAATGCAAAGAGACATAGTCAAAAATTCATAGATGAATTAAAATGGAACACTAAAAATATTCAAAAAATCCAAAAGATGAAGGAAAGAAGAAACAAAGAAATGAAACAGCAAGTAAACAAAAACAAAAGAAATGATAGACCTAAATCCAAACATATCAATTACATTAAAAGTAAGTGGTGTAAACATACCAATTAAAGACAGCAAATTTCAGGAAGATTTGAGGGGGGCAGAGAGACCCAACTATATCATAACCATAAAAAAACATAATAAATGTAGTCACATGGGTAAGGTAAAAGTAGAAGTGTGGAAAAATACATAACCTGCAAACACCAAGTGTAATAATATATGTGTAAACATCAACTATAATCAATGGGATTTGACTATGTTTTTGCTGGGACTCTAAATGGTTTAACCACTTTGTAAACTTGACTGACATTATCTGTGAAAACCACACACCATATCAACCCCAGTCCCCCTCCTAAGACATCCCCAATAGAAATGTACACACAGATGCACCAAAAGACTTGTTCTAGAATGTTCATGGCCATGTTATAACACCAAATTAAAAGAACTTAAGTGTCTATAAACAACTGAATGGATATAGTGTAGTATATACACACAATGGATATCCTACGCAGCAGTTTGTAATTGAAGCAACCCACAGTGACATGGATGATTTTTGCAGCCATCATGTTGAGTGAGACAAGCCAGACACAAAACAATCCACTCAGAAACAGACAAAGCCAGCCCATGGGGTTGGACATCAGGAGAGCGGATGTTTGGGGAGGAAGGTGGGAGAGATGATTGGAAGGAGACTGGAAATGTTCTATTTCTTGCTCTGGGTGGTAGTTTTATAGTCTATATGTCTTGTGCACTTTTCTATAAGTATACCATAAATCAATAAAATTTTGAAAAAATTTTTGAAATTTAAAAATTAGCAAGGAAGATTTAACAGAAGAGGTACTGATCTTGCTGCAGCAAGAAAGAAAGCCAAAAGAGAAGGGATTTGAGGGTTAGAATTAGGTAAACAAGTACTTAGGAAACATTTGCCACATGCCAGAAATGTCCCACCGGTTTTCATATATATGGTCTCATTTAACCTGTCCAATCAGCAAATGAGAAAATAGAGACAATGATTATGATCAAGTACTATTCAAGTGATATTCAGGATTAACTCTAATTTCCAGTGCCATGAGGTGGAAACCAGGCCTCTTCTCCAGACATGCCCCCCAACCCCCAGCCTGATACGAGATTCTGACCTTGTGTCCACAGGCATTCACCCACCCCAGCCCCTGAGAGGTATTGGTTGTCCTGGAAGGCGAAGATGTTCCTACAGCTCTAACTTGCATTCCTTCTAGAATCTTGCTGCCTGCAGTACATTGTGAATTATATAGTTTTCTTATGAATAACCTAAGGAGAATGTGTTATACTTTGTTGCATATAATAAAACAATCACTTGGTTAAGTGTAAACATTTAAAATATGCCAGATTTTTAGAGCCTTGTCTTGTGACACTTTCATTTCTTAATACATTTAGTGCCTCAGGGGGCAAAAGGGGCTCAGGCCCTGCCAGCCTCTCAGAGGCTCCAGCTCTATCTTTACCTCTGCTTCATGGAAGAGAGATAAGCCCCCCAAAAGCTTTCCTTCTTGCTTTCCCTTCAGCTGTTCTCACTGTGCCACGCCGTCAGTAGTCAAGTCAGCAGACCCTGCAGCCTATAAGGGTGACACAGGGTTTATTACAACATTCAGGAGAGAAGGCGAGGGTGGGATTCCTGGCCAATGCCTTCTTTGGGTTCATTGTGCAAACAAAGTGAGACTAATGGCATTTGGTCCTGGGGCTCCTGTCCTCCCTGGATCTCCATGGGCCTGGGAGGAGGGTGGCACCAGGCTGCTTTGGGGTTCACTTGGTGGGCCCATTGTATCTCCTTACAAGGCTTTTGCTTCAAGCTCTGGTTTTTCTAAACCCCCTTCCCTGACTCTTCCTAGATCAATCAAAAACCCACCTTTCTATGCCAGGGTGGGCAGGCCTGGTCTCTTGTGGAGAACATCTAATTACCGCAGCACATACGGCAGCTCACCCCAAATCCCTCTCCTTCAAGGGCTGTGGATGATGCTATGCGGGCAGGGAGAAGGGACACAATCCCAAGCCGCCCAGCAAACTTTGCGTGCCAGGACCCAAAGTTTTGGGTGCACCAGGAAATCGATTCTAAGGTAGAAAGGAAAGGGCTCATCTCCAGGACCAACCTGTAGTATGAAAGGAGCTGCCTGGCCGCTGCGTCACAGTCCCTGTGTTGGGCCAGCAGGCAGAAAGGAGGCAGGAAGGAACTGCTTGGCCTGAAGCCCAGCTCCTGGCAGCACTGGCTGGGGGGCCAGAGTGGGGAGGGCTGGGAGGGGGGCGTGGGGCAGCACCCAGCCAGCTGGGCCCTGCTCAGGTGTCTGCTGAGGCAGATTTCTCACAGAGGGTGGTCTCCATCTACTGTATTAGGAAAAGAGGAGAGGAGGGTCAGGAAGAGGGAGCAGAGAAAGAAGGAAACACCAAGTCCAGGAGGACAGGAGCTGGAAGTGAAGACGGCTTCTCTCCCTCTGGTTTGAGGCTGAAGGTGGCCTCCGGGGGTAGGGAGTGAGGGAGCCAAGCAACAGGTGCAGATAGGTGTGAGACCCAGCATGTCAGTGACCAGCACTGTGAACTCGACTTGACCTAGGAGATTCTTGGTCTCCACCCTTCGGAAAGGGCTAACTAGCTATGCGCAGCGCTGGAGGGAGCATCAGAGTGGTCTGCAGGTTGCTTAGCTCATAGCAGACCCTAAATAAATGGTCTTTGTCACAGCAAAGGCCTTAGCCTATTCTCTGGGCACAGAGTTGGGGGGTGGTGGCGGTGACTGGCATCCCTAGAGTAATATGCGCCAGGATCCAAAAATGCTTAGGAAGGAAGAGACTAGGAAGACTTGGTGGACCGCCCAGCTGCTCTGGCTTCACAGGCGAGTCCCGTCTGATGCGCGGGCTGCCTTTCACTGAGAGTTTCTGGCTGGAGCAAGTGGAAGGACCTGCTCTGCTGGAACTTTTTTTTTTTTTTTTTTTTTTTTTGGCCCTCCCAGGCGACGTCCGATGGGTGTGTCAGGCAGGAGGTGATATTTGACGGGCTGCAGGGCGGCTGCTTCGGAGCCCGGTGCCAGGCAGGGTGCGAGCATGGCCTCCCCCGACCCACCGCCCCCCACCAGCCATGCACCACCTGATGTGCCCTCCGGGTTGGCCCTGTTCTTCACCATCCCCTATGCCTTCTTTGTGCCAGAGCTGGTGAGTAACCCTTGCACATAGGCTGGAAGCTGGGCCTGGGGGCCTCCCCTCCCAGGGGAGGAAAGGGGGACCAGGGCCAGAGCTCTTTTATGCTCATTGCTCCCCGGAGTGCCTGGGATGCTCTCCACTCCCTCCTGCGTTCCCCTCAGACCCTGCAGCGAGGGTGGGTGGTAATGTGGGGGGAAGCCCTGCTAGAATATTATGGATCTTCAGGAAGGTGTTGGAAACTTTTATTTCATGGCTTCGTTTCAACAACTACTTGTTTGTGCTTTTCTAAAGTTACAAATAGGGGACTCTGTCTTTCCTCCTGAGAGAGGAGATCTTCTAGTATCTTCTTGCCAAGTCAGCTGACTTTGAGCAGTGACTTAGGTGGACTCCCCACAGGAGGCAGCTTATGAGAACCTTGGCTATGGAACAGTTGGGGGAGCCCCTCTGGCTGCACATGGGAACCTGTCACCCCATTGGTCACTCTCCGGGGCACCCATGGCTGACTCGTGGTCCAATTCCTGCCAGAGCGGGAGTGCTCTGCGCACAGTATTCACCGAGCTCGCCGTCATCATCCTCTTTTCACTGATGGGGACACTCAAGTCTGGTGAACAAATCAGGGCTAGGGAGTTTGTTTTTCCACCCCCTTCTGAAACGCCTAGCTTGTGGGTGATATTTTCTTACAGGCTCCGAATGTGGCAGTGCTGCCCCAGGCAGAGAGGGGAAGAGAGAAAGTGGTTCCAACTTTCAATTAGACCTGGCCTGCCCTCTCACTCTCGTCATCTGCTTGGAAGGCTGGGCCCAACGGAGTGACCTTTTGGCAAACTGGTTAAAGGGCGCCCATTAATGACAACCCGAAAGGGAGCTAGGAAGGGCGGGCCCAGGACTTGGGTGGCTCCAGCTGAACCTCACCCAAGAAGCAGGTTTCTGCCAGGTCTGCCCCCCAGGGGACACAAGCATGGGCATTCTGCCAAGCTGATGACAACTTAGTGCTCTTCCAAGTTCGCTGTGCCGGGACCCGGGCATGTCTCTCACCTCTGAACAACCACATGAATTGCCAGGATCGTGGCTGACTCAATCACATGGTTTGTGCCCAGCAGGCAGGCCACTGGTGCCACTGCCTTCCCAGGGTCCCTGACTGCTGGAGAGAGACTGGTGAGCACCTTCTCCCCACTAGTCAGACTATGCTCAAGGAGGTGACCATACAGGGCTGCGGCACCAGCAAGGAGAGGCCGTCTGACCTGGTCAAGTTGGGGAGGAGTCCAGACCTTTCATGGTGAAGACTACCATGAATTTGGATCTCAGAGGACAGACTGGATTACTAGGCTAAGGCCCGTTGTGGGGTGGGGGAGGCTAGCAGAGGGGGAGGAGGGAGAAAGGCCCAGAGTCAGGAGAGACCGACAGGCAGGAGGCAGGAAGGATAGGCCTTCTAGAATCCAGAAGGTACCTGGTGAGAGCGGCCATCCCTTGCACCCCACCCCGCAACAATGCTGGCCCCTGCAAGTGGAATTCTTGGGGGAGTCAAGTGCATGCTGTGCTGGTTTCTCCACTGGTTTCATTTTCCTGGTCCAGGATCTAGCCCAGGATTCCACACTGCATTTAGTTGTCATGCCTCCTTTTCTCCTTGAATCTGGGGTAACTCCTCAGGCTTTGTTTTAACACTGGAGACTATGGGTCAGTTATTCTATACAATGTTCCTCCACTTGGCATGTCTAATGTTTCTGTATTACAACTTCATTTTGACTTCGCTAGTAATCCATATTCATTGTTGAAAACTTAGAAAACACAGAAAGAAATATAATTTATATATTCATATATATACCATAGTCCCTCTTATCCACAGTTTTGCTTTCTGTGGTTTCAGTTACCCATGGTCAGCCATTATCTGAAAGTATTAAATGGAAAATTCCAGAAATAAACAATTCATACGTTTTAAATCGTACACCATTCTAAGCAGCACAATGAAATCTCCCACCGTCCCGTTCTGTGCAGCCCAGAACGTGAATCATCCATGTGCCCGGCATCTCCACGCTGTAGACATTCCCGCGCGTTGTAGCTGTCTCGGTTATCAGATCGGTGGTCACGGTATCACAGATAAAGTCACCTTTATTTTATATAAAAATGACCCCAAAACACAGGAGTAGTGATGCTAGCAATTTGAAGATGCCAAAGAGAAGCTGTAATATTCTTCCTTTAAGTGAAAAGATCAGAGTTCTCAATTTAATAAGGAAAGAAAAAAAGAGCAGGCTGAGGTTGCTAGGCTCTACAGTAAGAACAAATCTTCTATCCATGAAATTGTGAAGAAAAAAAAGGAATTTTGTGCTAGTTGCTGAGAGAAAAAGAGTACTTTTATAACAGTATGTTGTTATAATTGTCTTATTTTATTATTAGTTTTGTTGGTAATCTATTACCGTGCCTATTTATAAGTTAAACTTTATCATAGGTATGTACATATAAGAAAAAACACAGTATATATGTGTGTAGAAATATAAATATAGACATAGATATAGATTAGGTATAGATGTATAGATGTTATAGATATAGATTAGATATTGATGATATAGATAGATATAGATATAAATAGATATAGATAGATGGTTCAGTAATTTCCTGTTTAAGGTCTTAGGCATTCACTGGGGGTCTTGGACTGTGACCTCCCAGGGTAAGGGGACACCGCTGTACACGAGGATGCATTAGTTGGGCTATTTTGTACATACTGCTCTGCACTGGTTTTTTTTCCTTAAATAAGCCTTCCTAGCACAGAATATAGAATCACGTGTGCCTCACATCTGGGGAGTGGGAGGGGGAGGTAACCAGGACAGGAGGCGAAAACGTGTAGGTGAGTGGGTGATTCTTGACCCCATGGAGCAGAAGACACGCTGGGCTAGAGAGGGAAGTGCAGAGTCAGCCCCTCTCCATCCCTGGTCTCTGGCTATGCTGCCCACTGCCACCCGCGGGGGCTGACTGCAGAGCACCAGGCCTTGGGATTCCGGTAGATTCTCTGTCTTGGGGCCCAAGTCATCACAGACAGGTATATATTTTTCTAAGGACATGAGTCTAGAGAGGAGGTTCTAAAACCAGGAGCTCAAGCCTGCAAAACAAGGCATAGGAGGCAAAATCTGTAACCTGAATTCAGGAGTCATCCATGGAGTGGCCCAGAGCAGACATGGGTGGTGTCTGTATGTACAAGTCCCTTCAGCCGCTGTTTGCTAAGTGCCCGCTGTGAAGCCTGGAAAGCAGGGCCAGTGCACAGGGCGTTCCCATGGGAGCGCGAGGAGCAGAATTAAACAAGGGGTCCACTGAGGCCCCAGCTCTGCTCCTCAGACACCCCCACCCTACGCCATGCCACCCCTGCTGCCTAGACAGTGGCAGTTCTTCCGAATTTCTGGATGATGGCAGACCTGAATGGCTCAGGCCCATGGGATCCTTGTGTTCTCTGCCCACTCTGCTCCCTGCAGCCCGCTCTCACAAAATCTTTGCCTCAATTGCTTTATTTTAGAGTCTTTAACTTTAAAATTCACACTTTCAAACTTGATTTTACAGGAAGTATAGATCCATAGGCAGTTGCAAAGCTAGTTCGGGGAGGTCTCCCATGCCCTTCACCCAGTGTGCCCCTCGTTACGTCTGTGGTAACACTAGTAACGATATCAAACCAGGCAACCGATGGTGGTGAGATGTGTCTGTATAGGTGTATGTGTCTATATTTTCACTTTACAAAAGATGTGCCTCAGTACCTGTTTTCAGTAACCAAGAAAAATGTGAAGAGGATTTTTGCTTTTATGAAAAAGGCAAAAATAGAGCTTAGTGCTAGTTCTGCAGCAGCTGGTAGAAGCTGCGGCCTCCCAGCAGCAAAAGCGGCTCTGCCGAGCTCCTTCCCCGGAACCTCACTCAGCACCTCAGGCTCCGGCCCCAGAGCCTTGAGCTGTGCTTGGGAGCATCTGAGTCTTCTCTCCAGTGATTTTGTGTGTCTATTAGCAAAATGAGTCCCAAAGTAACAGAAATGCCTAAGAGAGCTCATAGGGGCGTTTCATTTAACATAAAACTGGACATAATTAAGCATATTTGGTATGATTGGGTAGGTTATTTTGAGGGGTCTATGAACACTCAAAAAGTTTTCTGTGTAAATTAATGGTAATTGCTTCTTTGCTTTATGCCATTTCAGCTTCAAAATGTTTCATAGGAACTTCCACTTTTGGGTAGGCAAAGAATCTGTACTTCTATGTCATTTTCTCACATAAATAGATTCATGTGATACAGAATCACCACAATCAAGATACAGACCTGTTTTGTCACCACAAAGGCCTCTCTTTTGCTTCCCTGTTATAGTCTCTTCCAACCCACTCCAACCTGGCCCTCTTTCTCCCCGTCCTGAACCCTGGAAATCATTAATTCTGTCTCTATAATTTTGTTATTTTGAGAAAGTGAGATAAATAAATGGACTCACAAAGGATGTGGCCTTTGACACTGGCTTCTTCCACTCCGCATAGTTCCCTGAGGTCCACCCAGCTTATTGTGAGTGTATCAATGGCTCCTTCCTTTTCGTTGCTTCGTAGTATTCCCTGGTGTGGATTTACTGTGGTTTGTTTAACCATTGACCCACTGAGAAACACTTTGTTTGCTTACAGTTTGTAGCTATTCTAAATTAAGCTGCCATGAACATTCATGCGCAGGTTTTTGTGTGGACGTGGTTTTCCTGCTCTGGGAAAATGCCGAGTGTGATTGCTGTATTGTGTAATAAGTGCATGCTTGGTTTTTTATTAAGAAACTGACAGACCCTTTTTGGGAGCAACTGTACTATTTTAAATTCCCACTAGCAACAGAAAAAGACTTTTGATACTTCAACATTCAAATTTGTATTTTATTTGGTTTATAGTGGAATTCATATTCTCATTTGAAAACAATATTAATTTCAAAATATAGTCTCCTTCACTCACTGAGTGTGGGTGCCTGCTGGTGCCAGAGCTGGGCAGGGCCTGGGGCCCAAATGACTCAACCCCTACCCATCTCTCTTTAGA